CACACAGCCCATGCTGGAGACAATGTAATCCCACGGGGAAGACAGAAGGTCACAGGCGCAGTGTGAAGCCACAAAATAAGGTCCACTTTTTGGACGGGCTCGGCGGTGCTTTCACCCCTCACAATGTCACTTGGAACAACCAGGTGGAGCGCAGGCAGGGCCCGCTCTTCTCCTGCTGTCCCTTCCCTTGGCAGATAGGAGGTTACACGCGTCCAGCGTGCTCCAAAATTAAGGGCACTGCCCTTACGGCAGGCAGGAGAGCCCAAGATGTGGCAAGGGCAGCGACACTCCGCGTAACCCCGCAGGTGCGATGGGACGCTGCGTGCCAGCCGGGTGCCTGCTGCTACCCACGGGCTGCAGGAGGCTCCGGGGGTGCCGCTGGTTACAGGGACACACGGAGCAGCGGGGCAGCCGCGATCAGCCCCCCCAAAGCATGGCTAAAAGCATCGCCAGCTATCGCCTGTCGCGACACACGGCGGCTGAGCGGGGCGGGGAGCCCGCTGCCCTTGGCCGTGCGGGGTTAGGAGCTGAGGGCGCCCAGCAGAGCCCGCGGAGCGGCGGAGGGAGCGGCGAGGAGGGGCAGCTCGGCCCCGTGCCCCCACACAGGGGCTGCCCGGCCGGCAGCACCCGCAGCCTGCCCGCACCCCGGGGGGGCACGGCCGGGCCCAGGCGACCCCGCGGGGACGAGCCCCGAGCCCGGAGCCCCTCAGGAGGGGGTGGGAGGGGCAGGGCCCGGCCGCCTCAGGGAGCCCGGGGGGAGCCCCGCGGGCCCTGCCCCGCGCCCCGCGCCCCTCAGAGCGCTGCGCCCAGCCGGGGGGGACCCCGCCGGCAGGGGCTCGGCTGGCCGGGACCCGCCTGCACGGCCCCCGGAGGTCGCCCCCGGGCTCCCTGAGGCGGCGGCGGGGCCGGGGGCCGGGCGGGCGGCGGGCGGGGAGCCCCCGGAGCGCGGCGCTCCCGGCGCGGCGCCGCCGTCCCCCCGCACTTACCCTGTCACAACAGGCGCCATCTTCCACAAACTCTCGCCAAAACTCCTACTCTCGCGAGAGCTGCCTCCACACACACACACCCCCCCTCCCTCCCTCCCCTCCCTCCTCCTCCCGCTCCCCTCGCACCTCCCCTCCCCGGGACGGCGTCGCGCATGCGCAGAGCGCGGGAGACACACACACGCAGAGCGCCCGGGCCCTCCCCTCAGACACAACAGCCCCGGCGTGGGAACCGGCGAGGTCTCGCGAGAGCTGCGCGGCGCTGGGGAGAGGGGAAGAGAGGGGAGTCTCGCGAGACTTGGCCGCTGGGGGATTCCCTCTCTGCCTGCTCGTGCGTCTGGCTGCCCGGCGGAGCGAACCAACGCGGGGACAGCGGGGGGGGGGGGGCGACACACGACAGCGGCACAGCCCGCCCGCGGGGAGCAAACCACGCGGGGCGGCAGAGGGGGGGGCGCTGCCAGCACGCCTGGCGGAGCTGACCATTAGCGGCGGCAGGCGGGGGGGGGGGGGAGCTGGCGGCCGCCTCCTCCTCACCGCCCCCATACCCCGACCCCCCCCCCCCGCGGGAGGCGCGGTGGGCCCGCCCGCCGTGTGCTGGGTGAGGGCGGGCGGCGCGCGCCGCGCCTCGAGCCTGCGGCAGGGCCCCGCGGGGTCCCGGCGCCATGTTGGGGCTCGGCCGGCCCTGAGGGCGCTGAGGGGCTGGGGGCGGCCAGGGGGGCCCCGGGGCCGGCACCTCAGCGGTGCGGGCTGCCCACTGCCGCCTCAAAGTCTGTAAAATCCCCCTACAAAGCTCCATCTGGGAGCACACACCGCATGTGCCTTCGTTCCCTTCTGCTCAGTTTAAAAATCGCCTCACACAAAGCCCAGAAACCAACCAGAAAATAAAAATCTTTCACAAACGAGGGGTTGGAGGTCGGGGTTCAGAGGGGTGGGTGCGCCAAGGACTGATTCCATTTCTTACATACAATCATATTTTTGAACAATAAAATCTAATGAAAACCTTTCTTTCTTAATTTTGGTGTCTTCTCCAACCAAAAAGCATAAGAAAATAAAATCATACAATGGTTTGGATTGGAAAGGACCTCAACGATCCAGCTGCAGCCCCCTGCCATGGGCAGGGACAGCTCCCACTAGGTCAGGTTGCTCAGGGTCTCATCCAGCCTGGCCTCCAGCACCTCCAGGGATGGGGCATCCACAACCCCTCCGGGCAAGGTTTATTTGTTTAGCAGGTAATTTGGGAGTCTGCTAAGACCCAGACCAATAAAGCGACTCTTGTACTGACCTCTCAGAAGTCTTGGTATGGGTGCTGTAACGAGAAGGTATCCACAGAAAGAAAGGACCTGGCTGTGCTCCAGCACATTGACATAACGAGAGGAGCCTGATCTTGGATCCATTTAACAACAAGACCATTTCAAGTCCATTAGAGGACTGTCTGAAAATTAATCCCTTTCTGTCCTGGATTCTATCCTACCCATTCAACCTCTTCATGCCTTTAGCATACCAATTTAACTTCACATACATATTCAACATAGATTTAAAGATCCCCCCGAGACTCCAAAAAGTGCATCATTTTCATTACTTCACCTCCATACCTCTGCTGTTTCCCAAGGTAGGAAAAGTGAGAACATTCTCGGTAACACCATTAGTATGATGTCTTCCCTAAGTACACTCGTACTAATTCAAGGGATGTGTCAGATGTATAAAGGCATGCTCCAAGAGATCATTTGGCCACCAGGTTTACTGTAATCCTGCTCGCTGTACAAACAGCTATTGTTTGCTATTATCAAAAGCACTTTTCCCCATCGTGATTTCCCCTTCTGAAAGGAGTTATGAAATGACGTTGATTGGCTCCACGAAGGAGCCGAGAAGGCGCAGCTCTTGTCAAAAGCACGATGCATACTGGAAATCCTCTGTATTGTTTGTGAAGAGCAACTCATAATCCCTTTGGAAATCTCTTCCTAAAAACATCTTCTCTTTTTTTTTTTTTTTTTTTTTTTTTTTTCCCTCCAAGGCTAAAGAATGATCTCAGCTCATGCTAGCTCCGTTCCGTTAAGAATGGTTCCTGGATATTTGCCATGGCCTGTCTCTAGATGGTCATTTTCTGGGGCCCCTCTTTTGCTGTGTTTTGAATTGAACTGGAAGATCTAAAAATACAGCACACAATAATATGCCATGTCTAGACTCTTAATATTTTACAAAGAATAATAATCAAATTAATTGGATGCTGGAGCAGGTATATTATTTCAAAGAATAGTTACAGAAATGATTGTAGTCCTTTCCATCACTGACAGAGGTACATTATAAAACAAACATTTTTTTTTTTTCCTTTTCAGTTATAAACAATATGTAGTGCAAAAGGCCAGGAATACTGTTCACATCAAAAACAATAGCCTGAAATTAAGCGAATATATTGAGGTGGAAGGAAAGACAATAAAACCACAGAGGTGTTTTTTTGTTTGTTTGTTGTTTGTTTGGTTTTTACTGTTGTGCATGCATTGAATTTTATCCTCATTTCTAAATGTTCTTATTTCACGTGGTAGAGTGTGTGCAATTTCAGTTGCCTTTAGTGGAAACTGAAAGCATCTCATACCTCAGTGAGCCAGGCCCTCCTTTCTGTTCTGTAGTGAAGGTAAACACCTCCGGAGCTGAGGCAGGGGAACAAATTTAACTACAAAGTTTGCACTATTTACATTTTTGTATTTATTTGCTATGCAAATCAGCAGTCGGCCTTTCCAACAGAAAGTGATTCAAGCTGTGCTGAATTCAGTGGCAAGCTCTGAGTGGAGCCCCTGGCTTCCACGAGGACGTGGGGACACCCAGCTCGGAGGTGCCATGGACACGGGGGCTCTCCTTCCAGGAGGGGGCTTTGCCCAGTGGGGTACCCGCTGTTGTTAGCCTTTGGAAAGGGAAGGTTAAAGAAAGAAATGGCTGTTACTTTTGTTTTGTAAACCCTGGGACAGGGCTGCCTCATACTTTTTTTGGTTCACTGGCACGTAGAGGTGTGGACAGGGCCGGGTCCATAGGGCTGTCAGGGCTCTGTCCCAGGTCTGAGCTCTGTGCAGGTACCTACAGCTTCATCTGGGGATTCATACAGTCCCCTCATCCCCTCAGGACTCAGGGTGGAAAGAAAAGACAGGGATCAGCCCCTCTGTGTGGTCTTTTGGCACTTCGTTTTGCCTGTCAGGTGGCATTTAAGGAGTCACCTTGCACAAACAGCCCGGCTCTGGAGCGGAGGGCAGGCGGGATCGGGGAGCGCTGGGTGCAAGCTGTACTAAGAGGCCTCAAGATTTCAACAGCCTGCTCGACCGGTCCGGAGCAAACTTTCTCCGGCTCAGCCCTGGCTCGGTGCTGCCCTGGAGCTCTTTCCTTCGGGCACAGCACTAGCTAGCACTGCTGCCTGCCCTTCTGCTCAGCCACTGCCCCATGTCCAGCTGGCCTGGAGACAGGTCAGGGGACTGCAGATCTCTTAGGGACTGCCCCCACTTCTGAAGAAGCACCCCGTATCTGTTATGTGCTCAGCACTGAGTCCCCTTCCCAGCCGAGCCTCGCTTCTCAGAAGAAATAACTCATAGCATATCCTGTAAAATCCTCGCTATTTATAAAGCATACTGACCTTAAAAACATCACAGGTAGTAGATTCACGCAGCTATCTGAATCTGCAGTTCATTGTAAGTAACAGGTTTATCTCTAGATGCTGCAGTTTGTATCTGGTAATGTAAATCACACATTCGAGTAGTACATGCTATGATATAACCCTTCTGGAATTTTATAAGCACAGGATGTACAGTGTGGTTTAACCGCGTGTCTAGGAAAGAAAATAAACAGGCAGTTGCCCACAGAGCATATCTTACATCTGAACTTCTGTGCATGTGCCAGCTAAAGTGATCGCCCTAACCGCTAGCTGGACAACTGGATGGCAGAAGTGCCTCTGCTGTTGGAAATGGGAGCTATTGTTCAGCGTAGCACTGAGGATTTGCAACACTGTCCTGAGGGTGATAAGGATAAAGAGGAGGGTAGTTAGCAATCTTAAACGGGAGCATTGTTAAATAGTTCTCGCTTGTGTGTCATAACCTCAGCAGCACAAGGAAAAATCGTGATCCGCATCTTAATGCCAGCTAGGGCATAAGTAGTGCCTTGGCACAGCAGCTCCTGAAAGCTACGGTCGGGCTTGTGCCTCTCGAGAGTGCCTTGCAAGCAAGTACAGTCCCTCCACCGAGCACTTCTAGAATCTAAAGGCGAGATGCAAAAAGTGAGTATAACAAACAATAGGAAGGAAGAGGGGGAGGGAAGATGAGGTTAACAGTAATAACATCATGTGGTTATGTAGGTTAACAGTGTGAAGGGTTTGATGACTGGCTTCTGAAACCTTTTATTTTAAAGTATTTTCTCTACAACACCTTCTGAAGATACGTTTTGTATTGAATTAAATTTTGCGCCTCACCCCTCCGCAGAAAAGTACCTCCAGTTACTTTCCATTGGGTGAAGTTTTACTCCAATGGCCTATAAACCACCCTACATATCTGTGTGCCTCCTTTCAGAGCAACAGCTGCCCATCTCTGAGCAGCTCTCCTCTCCACGCGTGCAGGGTGCCCGTCCAACAGATTTTGTGGCACCCAATTATCGCCCTGGGCCACAGGTCCTGCTGTGGTGCCCTCAGCCTCCTGCTCTTTGGGCTGCCCTGCAGATACCTGCTGCAGGGGAGTCTGTGAATGCGAGGGCATCCTGCCAGTGCCTGCCCGCTGCCCGGCAGCATTCCCAGCTGCCTTCAGCTCCTGCATTTCAGTTTTCATGACCACAGGAGCTGGCCAAGGTGAGATCCATAGGGCTCCACCTTTGTGCTGCTGCGAGCTGGTGCCTCGGGTAAGCACACACACACACCCAGCCAGTTCTGGGATTCAGCCACGGCACACAGGATTACCAAGTGGTTGCTGCAAAGGAGCACGGCAGGATAAACCATAGCAAAAGGCTCTTCCTCACTTCCAAAACACGCCGGGGAACATCTTGTTCCTTTTGTGTACGGCCCTTTGGCGTTCCAGGGGAGTGCGACAAAGGTAAATTAATTGCATCCCTCTGAAATCAAGAGGACAGGAAAGCCTGAACTAGTCAGTTAGACCATGAATTATTACAAACAAAACAAAAAGGAAGATTTAAAGGTTATGACACAGCTCCAGATGTTTTATCGATTTTGTTCATATATAAATACAAATTGAGTTTGCAATGCTACGGGTCTGAACCGATGTGGAAACAGATGTCTGCGCAGAAGTACTTAACCAGAGGCACTGTCTCAGTTCTGATGTTTTCGTGATGTATATTTTAGTGTACTGGCTACGCTGACAGGGGCACGCTCACACCCAAGCCTGCAGTTCAGTGACTGCGAGAGGATTTTTTCAGACAGTCCCCTCTCCTGTTCATGAGGCTCTCTAAGAAAATGTATTGTGACATGCCTCACCTTTACCTGCAAGTAAACTGTGTTTGTGGAAAAGCCCCTAAAGAGTGAAAACTCATTAATTTGACAAAACACGAAAGAAACCCAGACTCTTGATTACACACGTTTTTCTCCTGTATTTAGTGCTTATGGGAATTTCAGACTGACCATAAAATGGTATTAAAATAAGAGCTCAGCAGCCTACTCTGAAATAAAACCACAAACTGCACGTAACGCCTTGATAAAACTACTACTGGAAACCTATTTAACATTATAATCCAGCCTGTTTTACTATGTACTAGGGAAGTCTGGGTCCCAGTCATAACCACATGCTATGTAGAACGGGAGGAAACTTAGGCAGAAATCCTTAACCTGTAATCCTCCATACAAACATGTGCACGCAGGAATTTTCCTTGCAATGGCTAGAGAAAAGAGTTAGGAAATAAATTGCTTTACAGAGTGCAAAGCTAGGTACCGCATACGTGCTATTTTGAGAACTTAGCAGCAGCTAAGCCTTACGCTAGTCCCGTATGAAGAAGCTAAATTCATTTTACATGTTTGGTGGCTTATGGAGAATGCCTTGGGCTATGAAGATAATACTTGGTTTTGGTCTATTTCTTTATTTAAAACATTGAGGAAGTTATACATTCCTGAAAGAGAAGATTTTTTAAAGTATTCTAAACATGTGGTCAAAGAACATGTAATCCTAAAAAAAATAATTCTCTTGTACTGCTATCTTGGATCCATTTAGATGATTTCTTTTGTCAAGAACAGTCACACAAATTTTAGCTGTTGTGAACACAGTCTAAGTTTCATGCCAGTCTCCCCCAGAACACCAGTTTGATCCTCTGCTGTGCTGCAGCCCTTTCTCTGTAGTCCCCTCTCCTCCACAGCCTGTTTCTGGGAGTAAGTGATGAAAATAAACTCCGTACAAATTGCCTGAGAACATTTCATTGCGCAGACCCAGGGTGGCTGACACTTGTGAATAAGATAACCTTTTCATTTCTTTTTTTTTTCCTTTTAGTGGATTAAAAGTGACCTTTTAATGCTAAAGTTCATTAGTGCTTGGATATCATATTGATGAGCTTTGTATAACTGAATGGATGAACAGATAAGTCAGAACCAAGGTAATGAGCTTACGGCTGCTAGGAGGTAACTGCAGCCATGCCATTGATGCTATTTAAAGAATTTCTGAATGCTATTTATTGGCAGTCTTGGTTCAGAAGTCACTATCACTTCTTTGATCATAACCAAGGGTATTTTGTTCTTACTGTTGTAGCTACATAAGTTTCTAGAAATCCAGCTAGACGGCTGTTCTTATTACTCATGGCTTCATTATCAGTTTGTTTTTCTGCTCATTACTGGCACTGACCTTGCCAAGAGCTATGCACATGCATAATTTTACTCACGCGATTAGACTCATTAAAGCTAATGGGATTAGTCAAGAAAGTAAAGCTACTTCTGCCTAAGTGTTTGTCGTTTGGGGCAGTTCGACTAGGAACAAGATCAGGAAACTGGAAGGAATTCAGACCAAACAATGTTTTTCCTTAAAAGTCACGTAAAGAGAAATTCAAACAATTTTTCCTTAACCCAAGCCTGATAGGTGATGAACAAGAGATGCTGTTGTTCTCAAGCAGCTTTCCAGGTACTTAGCCTTCACGATCAGAGCTACAGATTCACACAGAAAAGTTTTCACTTCTGAATTTCCTTTACCTTGTATGCCTTTCAACTATGTATTCTCCTTTCCCAGTTTTGACCTGCGAAAACGAAAAAGTTTTTTTACCCTTATTTTGTCACTCAGCACAATTCATCAATTTATGCACAGGTGGTTTTGCACTGGAGGTGAACAGGAATTTTCTACCATTGGTTTCTCTTCAGAAAAGGGTGTTTTGTCCAAACCGAGGCTGGTTTCAGCAAACTTTACCAGGTCTTTCCTCGAATCTAGGATGAAATTTCTACTGAGAGGCAATGGGAAATAGACATCCAGTCCAAGAGCCCAGCAGCAGAGGCTGATGTAACCCAACAGCTATGCCACGATGCTGCAAACCAGGAGAACCCAGAAGAGGTTTTGCTCACACAGAATGAGGGAGATTGCCTTGAATTAAACAGCATAAAACGTCTGTTATCTCAGAGGACTGGCCTGAGATAGGCTCGTAGGCTTACGTTTTTTTGTGTGAAACCTTCCAGAGATGTTTATTTTGCTACAGTACGGGGAATAGACTGTGAGGACGTTTTCTGGAAAAAGAAATCCATTTCTTTCCCAGTACTTCTGTTGTACTTTTGTACCTCATTTCAAGCACTGCGAGTCTGCCTGTCTGTGACCTGCCTGCTGAAAGCCTCGCAGAAGCATTAGCGCAGCCAGAAATACAATATTTAGAGAGCAGCTGTGTTCCAGACCCTTTCTCTGATAGCCGTCTTGGCTTGGTCTGAGAGAGGAGTGGCAGGGAGCAGTTATTCTCTCTCTGCTTTCTACCCCAAGGAAATTCCCTACCGGATTGTCGGGACAATTTTATGGCCATCGGAACAACAGACCAAACATACAGTGAGTGATTATTAACTCCCATTTTGAACAAGCTGTTATTCTTACTTGTCATTTTTGACCTCTGGTGAGATGTCCCACATACAATAAATTATAAAAAATCTGGCCTCTCACTTAGAAAAACAAATGCCAACTGCCCTGCTATCATTCTGAGGCAATAAATCTCCCCTGGCCTTGGAAAAAAACATCACTTGTGGACTTTCACCCATTTTATACCTTTTTTTTTTTTTTCAAAACAAACACTTATTTTGATTCTGATAAATAAAAACAACAATGAAAACTGAATAAAGCTATAGCATTGTAGTCTGAAAGTTAAAAATCTCAGTGCATACTGACTCCCGTCCCCTGGCTTTTTCCGGGTAGAGGTTAAAAAAACAGGAAATCCACCACTACCAAGTCCAATACTGGGGGTGGTGGATGTTTTTAACTATTATTCCTTTTTTTTTTTTTTTTTTTCTCCCTAGGATAGCCGCTGAATTATGCCCCGATGCGCACGATGTTATGAACGTTGGGGAGAGCCATGTGGTGCTCCTGCAGTGCTTAATCTTGATGGAGCCCCAGCGCCCAAGGTTTTACGATTAATGGCAGGGGAGGAACACCCCAGCGACAGTTAGGGTTTTGCCAGCTTGTACTGTATATACAGCTGTTGCTGCACAGGGGAGGGAAACGCAGGGTCTGGCTGTCTGTTCCGAACAAAAAGAACTGGCACATGCTATTACTTCCAGATCATTGCAGTCCCTGCACCACCATCTGCTGGGGGTCAGAGCAGTTGTCCGGGTCGGCGTCAGTCATGCACAAACTCAATGCCTTCCCCGGCGCTGCGCCCAGCAGTACATATTTACAAGAACAATAAAGCGAACCTGCTCCCCGGACACAGGCACCACAATGCTCCGGCACATTCGGAACAAAGGGGCACAACGAAAGTTGCTCTGCATTACAAAGGGGGTTCTCGGGGATCACAGCTTTGTGATTTCAGGCCGTAACACAAATTGAAGTGAAGAAAAACTGTCACCAATAAGCTCAGACCCGGGGATCATTGTGTCTGTAATTGACGTAGCAGCTCTAAAAGGGTGCCTGGCTCTCCGCGTTTCCCCTTTCCCTTTTTACAAAGTCCTGTGTAAAAGATAGCTGAATGGGGAAGGCTTTGACAGTAAACGTTAAGCACTTGGATATATTATTCTGTATCAGCGGCCGGATGATCGCCCCCACCTTCCCCAGCTTGCCTCTGCCCACATCTTTTACCGGGGTTATGCCACGTGCTGAGGCAAGGTGCGGAGAGCTCTGAGCTGGGGTAAACTGGGCAGCTCCTCGAAACGGGGCCACTACGCTGTGATGCTGAAACCAAATGAGGAGTTTTAGCATCTCTTCAGCCCGAGCAACAGCTAGTGAGTAACTCATTTCTTCTGCTAAAAAGGGCTGCTTCCGGTAACACCAGCGTCACACACCAACTGGAACTGTAGGATCCTGCTGGCCCCTCTCTCAGTGCTTTCCTGAGCCTGTGGCTCCTGGGAGGGGACGTGGGGCTCCTTGTGACACGCCGAGGCGCAGTGCAGAGGCCCAGAAGTAAAGCCCAGCTCCTCTCCTCAGCCTGGGCTGGTTTGCTGCAGGGCTGAGCCCGATGTCCCCACACTGGATCAAAATGGAAGCGGTGGAGCAATGGAGCTCAGAGCTCAAACCTGCATTGCTCATGACAAACTCAGCAATATTCAGCCCATTTTGGTCTCAGCATCAGTAGTATTAAAGCAGGCAACAGTGCCAGAATGGGGTAAGAGGAATGGGCAGCAGCAGCCCTGGAAAGCTGTGAAGAGGGCAGGTGGAGCTAGACCCAGAGTATTTGTTAAGTGAGGCTTACTGCCAAATAACTAGAAACCATGCTGTACTGAGCGAGAATTCGCTAAGGGCTGCTGTACTCTGCCTCACATAGCTGCAGTATCTGTCACAGCGCTACCACATACATAATCTTTGACATTTCATCTGATAATTAGTGGTTTTGGCACAAGCAAACCCGATCTCGTTAGGTCCTCTCCTCAGTTGTTTTCATATTTCACTAAGCTCCACTCTGGGCATTATTTCATTAAGCCTCTTGGGTGCGTGTCACGTTTGAAAGCACTCTTGGATGCACTCACCCTGCCTGAAACGTAACGCGGGGCCGGGGACCTCCAGGTAGCTGCACCCACACGCCTTCCAACCCCACCTCCTCGGCCTCCCTGGCACCAGGACACCCCGCTGCCGGAGCAGCAGAGCTGGTTCTGGAGCCCGCGGGGGAACGTGGTGCAGCGTTCGCTCTGTTCCCTTGGAAAACGTCACGGGGCACGGCTGTGTGTTTGTAATTTGAGGGCACTTACCCCGAGCTCTTCAGCACTGAGCTGAACCGCGCCAGTTTGCACTGCAGCGAGGCAGTCCTCGGGGTGGGATCAGAACAAAAAGGAAAGGTTTTTTAAATCACAGCATTGAGATTGAAAAGCCACAAGAAATCTTCTGACCTAATGAAATAACTCTTAATATAAAAAAAAAAAATAAAGCTTTTACCAAACAAACAATTGAACGATCACATTGGTACTCTTATTTATGGCACGTTCCTGCTAAACTGTGCTCTTTGATGAGGAAGCTGGTGAAATACTCCTTCCTCCTCCACCATACTGTGGCATATGCAAAAGACACAGTGCCCTGCATGAGCCATATTTTCAACTTCTATTTCGTAAAACTGTCATTGCGTGAACAAGAGGGTTCAGTTTATTCTTAATTGCCTAGATGAAATGAATTTGTATAGGGCCTGATCTGGTGGGTACACAGTTAGGTGCTACAGCTTTGATGTCAAATGCTGAAACCACACACAGCATCCAGAGCTTGCAAACTTTTTGTTTAGATAGCTAACTAGGAAACAAGCCATTGGGAATATCTAGGCCAAAATAACATTTTTTATTTTATGTTGCCTCTTTATTTCACCAACATAATCCTTTATCTTCGAGGCTGCAGGTAGTGTTTTTATAAAGACCAGTTCTGTGAGTTGCCAGAGCGCAGGGCAGTGTAAATTCAATCCAGATCAGGCACGAAGAGGTGCCTGCTGAGTTAGCCAGGGCACATAATGCAGTGTCTATGCCAGCTTTATTCGTTATGCAGCCTCAGTGACAGCTATGGGAGAAAAGGTGATGCTTAATCAAACCTGAAGTGCACAGGGGCACCTTTTTACCTTTTTGAACAAATTTAATCCAGTGCTGCAAGCTGTACCAGTTGCGTACATTGCACCAAGAGGTGCTGACATTTTTGATCTGGGATTAACTCCTGTAACTTTGGATTTACTGCCTGGTGGAGCCTTGGCCTGATTTTTGCTCCCAACCCACTTAGATAGTGTTTCTTATATATCTGCCTTGAACTCACAAATCTGCTAACCTATCTTCCAAATCTTGTCCCTGAATTGCCTCTGCATTACTGCCTGCAAGAAACTTCCAATGCCTAATGGCTGGATAAATGACCATTAGGAAATAATGGATTCACGAAATATAATTACGTAGCTTTACGAAGCAATATTTTAGTGATTTGCAGCAGGCCTAGGGCATACATACAATTACTGTGGACTTCTGGTGCTTTTGTCCTCCATCCCTTCTCACTGCTTGCTCTCCCCACTTAGAGCATTGTATTTTAGCCTCTTGAATTTGACGGATTGAATAAGTCTTTGCAGCAGTATTTCCAAAGCTTATAATACAGGGAGTTCCCCAGCATATCAGGGATTCTTAAAACTTCAGGAGGGAGAAAAATATATTCAAGGCTTTTAATATTTAAATATATTTCCCCCCATTGTTTATAGTTTTACTTTTCGTAGTTATAGAAATCCTCTGAAAAGGACTATTGAAAGGGTTGTCTTGCTTTAATCAACTTAGTAAACTTTTGTTTTGTCCTTTATGCTGATTACAAAAGAAGCTGACATTACTCCATTTCACTTGCACCTTTTAAGCCACTGCGGCTGTGTTAATGGCTGCGCACGACCTCACAGAGCTGCACAACCCGGCCGGCTCATCAGCTGCCTAAACGCTGCTGCAGGAGCAGCACAAGAGAAAAACGTCGTCTGTAAGGTCCTAGAGAAACTGTAGCTGGAGAAGTGAGCTGCAGAGAGATGTGGCAGAGCGAAACTGTAGATGGAGAGGAGGAAAAAAAATGAGAAAAGGGGGTAGAAAGGCAAAGGGAGAGACTGTTGCTTCGGTAAGGAGAGAGGGATAGCTGAGCAGGCAGCATCAAATTGCTCCCAGTCTCTGTTCTGGCACTGGCGGATCTGTTGAAAATAGGCCAGAAGGACATGCTGAATTTGTTGCTCCCGTGTGCCAGCCTTTTCTGCAGCAGCGAGGGAAACCAATCAGTGCTGCTTCAAAAGCAGCTGGAAACTGAGAAAACTCTGGTCCCCTGCTGCCTGGCAGTCTGCAGGACAGGGTCTTCTCGGTTTCCAGCCACTACAGAGGCTCCATTGACAAAATGTGTGCTGCATTTGAAGGGGCACAATGTGACAATGAAAGAACCTGGGAGAGACAAAACAAGAAAGAGGGGGAAGAGAGGGAGGAGGGAGAATTAAATGGGAATGGGGGAGCAAGCTAAAGGGAGAAAATCAAAAGAAAAATATGTTAATCTGCGAAAGTGGTGGCAAAAATAGATCGTAATTGTCACATTTGACACTTAACATGCTTTATCAAAGAATATATATCTGAGATGGCAAGAATTGAGAAAACTAATTATTACTTTACTAATGTTAATCTCACCGCCCCTCTGAGACAGAGACAGGGTTATTTTAGTCCCCCATTTTCACAAATGTTGCTATGAAATACAGACAAGCTGGAAGGCGTCAGGTCCCCTAACAGACTTGTAGAGGCACTGCAAACAGGGGTTCACATCCTCATCCTTAGTTTCAGAGAGAAGTAGGTAGGAGCTCTGCAAGTCAGGAGGCTGGCATGTCTTTGGCTCAGAATAACTGGGGGAGAAAACAAAGCTACCCAAAACAAAGCCATTTCTCCTTTCCTTTGTACTTCATTAAATCTGCAGAGAGAATATATGGCAGTGTAAAAATCAGGGTGCCACTAGTAGCTCAAATCAAAGTTGTGTGGCTGGATTTTTATCATGGTGTGCCTGGCTGTGTCATGGGACACGTAAGAGGGGCACCCAGGAGCTCAGAGGAAGCGTGTGCAGTAGCGTTTTGGTAATCTCCCAGCTGACCCTATTTGCTGTGCTTGTCCAGAAGGAAGAGTAGGCTGGGAGCACAAGAACTGAATTTTGTTACGAAGCAACTAAACTGGAAGGATCTCCCAGGATGTCCCCACATTGGTCATGGCCTTTCAGTCCACGGGTCCAGCTCTAGCTGCTTTAAAGTAAAATCCATGAAACACAAATGAGAGTGAACATGGGGTCTTCAGCACCAACAGTTCCACTCTAAGTATCTGCAAGAAGTTAGGAATAACTTGGTAGACATGCAAAAGAGAATATTGCTTGGGAATGAAACTGACCTTTTTTTTTATTATTATTATTTTTTCTATGCAATTTTTGCTAGCAAGTTGGTGTGTCATAATTTTGAAAGAACTTTCAGATGCTTTAGCAGTTGTAAAATTAGACCATCACCATGTGTCCATCATCAGAAATGCTGCATTGGGTATTAGCTTAAGAGTGGGATAGTGTTTACTTTGTTATGTCATCTGCTCAGGTTATGTGTAATAGAATAAAATTAATATCATAGTTTTGAATTTAGCATTTCAGGAGTTTCCCATCTGAACTGTAAGTTTATTTAAAGTAAAGGTATCTTGCTTCAGCTGTAAAACTTTAGCTGTACCTTTTATGATGTAGGAAGAGGTGATAGCAAGGGCTGCAGAAAAACAAACATACAAAGAGAAGTCTTAAAATATTGTGCAAAAACCTATGTTATGATTCTTGGGATTTATTTTCTTTTCTGATTATGTCTAATGGCTTTGTCTATATCAATGAGTAATTCATCATAACAGATCACCATACTGATGTAGTTAGTGCTGAGCATCAGCATGTTTGTTACAAGCACCTTGAGGGTTTGAACTTCAGGCTACCTTTGACTCGATCCCTCGGGCTGGCTGTTCTCACCATACAAGTGGTTTAAAGCTGTCCAAAGGCCCACTGGCTGGTCTGGGCTCTTACATCCCCACTGGAGTTTGGGGTACATTTCCCATGCACCGGGCAGAGCTGCAGGGTTGGCTGCCTCTGAAGGGAGCCTGAGCTGCTCTGTGAATTGAACCAGTGAGCAAAAAATGGGGGTGATGAGGGATTTCTGTCAAAACTGCACTACTACTCTGAACCCAAATGCTAATGTACATATAACTATGTATATATGTGTGGTTTGGGGAAGATACTGCATATTTTTCTGTTGTACATAAACCCAATAATTTTGCATGATAATGCTGGTATACCTCCTTGTATATGTTTCTAGCCAGCAACCTCTAGTAAGTAAGTTCTCTGTGTTTAATGGTGCAAGACAAAAGCCAACTACACTGAATCACTCTGCAAGTGGATAAATTCTTACATATGTACTTTACATGTAACTCAGAAGAGTAGATTTTATTTTATCAAGTGATAATAACTGTGGTCCCCACATAAGCAAAATGAAAAACTGTTTTCCAAGCTGCGTGATGAAATAACTGCAGTGTAAATTGAGGAAGCGTTACTCCAAACCTCCAAAAAAGAGAAAGTGAGGTTTTTGCCAAACCAGGAAAAGAGACTTACTGTCTGTGATCAAAGGCAGCACTGCTCCACACAGAACTTCATGAGAATGCAGAAAGGGTGAAAAAAAAAAAAAAAGCCTAGAATCATGTAAGTTTCATTTAGGGCAATGTGCTTGAAAATTCATTCACTCAAATACCGGATATTAAAATAAGTGAGTAAATCCCTTCTCTTCTGGAAAAAAATAAATGACAATAATACTGATCACTTCCCCTAGCTAACCAGCTTTCCCTGTTACTGTAGTTCAGGCAGTCTGTGCGGAAAAGGACAAAGATCTAGTAACTTAAAATGTGGTACTTGGGACAGTTAAGTATCTGGCATTTAAAACTCACCAGCATTAAGTTTGATTTTTCTGCCAAGATCAACCTTTCTGATTCATCTTTACTTTTATCATGAACTTCTGTTTTTGCTTATATTTTGAGCAATGAGTACAGCACATAAATATATGTCAGGGTCTCAACAAAACAGAGCATTTGCGTTCCAACTCACTTACTTAGATACTTAATCTTGAAAAGCAAGCTATGCATTTTAGAGCTCCATGAAAGGCAAAGTCTTCTCTTTCTAAACTTGTCAAGGAAAAAGTTATCCCCAAGTATCCAAAATCCAAATCCAAAATCTGGATTGTATCAGATCTGGTCTAAAAAAAAAAAAAGTAATTAACTTTCATTTGTTCTTATTGCTCTCTACCAGGGTTTATTAAAAGAAACATTAGAAATGCAGACACAATCTACTACATCAACATATTGCTCATGAGATCGGAAGTCAGAACTCCCAAATGCTAATTCTGTCTTTGTCAATGATTTTCATGTCTCTCAGGTTGTTACTATTCTAGGTTTCCCACCCAAGAAAAGGAATATTAATGCTTCAAAAAGCACAAGCGATTAACACAATAATTTGCCTTTTCAATTTCTATCTTATTTAAAGGAATCCTTATTACTTTACTCTTAACACGTTGATGCAAATTTTGTTTACTACTGCTGTCTTTTTGCACTGAATGTTTTGATTTTGAGCAGCCACATTCATCTGAGTAATTTCTGTTCCCTTTTTGGATTGCCATAACTCAGGCAAATTTCTAGCGTGGCTGCTTTTACAAGCATAAAATCTAGTTTCTCTTAATTATTGTGTATATGATTTTTGCATTTGCTCTCAAGTAATGATCAGGCACATTTTCAGGAGTACCTTTCCGGAAAGCCAACAGAAAGTGAATGGTGTAAAAGCACTTGACTGCTAAAAAAGAGAATTCCTCAAGTATTGTGCTCTATTGGCTCAGCTCTAATACTCTTGAATTTCTTTTACTGGGGTCTGATCCATAAAGGGATTTGGTCACTTAAAATAGCAATTCTGCCCTAATGTTCAAAGGAGGTGTTGTTAGAGCTCCACCTCAGCTTCTATTAGTAGAGGGCACCCACATTTACACTGCTGATTATACTCCCAGCCTGCCTTCCTGCCTTCAAGGTCACTTTGCTGGCTGCAAAAGGGAATGATGGCTCCTAAATCCATGGGCAGTGTGGTAAATCCAGGCAAAAATGCTCAGATGCCTTGGAGGTGCCTGAGCTCAATTACAACTATGTTATTTTAACCCAGACGCTCTTTTGTAACCTATGGGTTTGCATTTGCACATGTTCAGAGCTGCATTTGTTAACCTGCTGCTCACTGCCATCGAGGCCCAGCTGATAACATCAGCTTCAGTGCAACCACACCTGGGCTGCCAGAAGGGCCAATTTTCATACAAGTGACAGCAGCAGGAGAGATTTTTTCCTTGTAAAAGATAGAAGTAAGAATTGCTGCCATCCATTTTTGTGAAACGTCCAATTTGGTCCAGCTTTCCTGCCAATAAAATTTGGAGAATAGTGTCCCAAACTGGAATTTTCCTATCCCCAGACCAGAGGCGAAATTTGCCCAGAGAGCTCGGAGATGCTGCTTCCTGGGGAGCTAAGATGTTGTCAGGCAGTTGTGGCTCCAAACTCCTGGCAGGCCACACACTAATTAAATCCTGCTTCTGGAATGTCGTTTTGCACTTCTGCCTTGAAATGTCATTCTTGTTTAGGAAACTCTCGTTTTAGGAGACACCCATACTCGGCTCCTTTCTGAGCCTGAAAGGACTCAAATCTACATTTTCCACCTCCTGAACTTTCTCTACCTCAGCACACCTCCTCTCTCTTTCTTGTTCTAGTCCTAGAACAACAAAAGTGAATTTGTTTCCTGATCAGAAGACACTGTTGTAAAGCATGTCACCTCATTTTTTACCAACCAGAACTTTCCTCATAGTCAGACATTACAGATAGCCTCAGATTTAGTTTTTAATCTGTACTGGAAGTGGTCCACAGGAGTGTCCAGATAGAAGATCTCAGTTTAGTCTGATGAAAGATCATGACCTATTCATAAAAACTGCATCCAGATTTTGAACATGCCCTAGGGAGTTCTGATTTTCTTCTCCCATTGTAGCACAAAAATGTAAAATATCTTCCCTTCCACGTCTGGTCTGCAACGCATTTGGCGTTGCAGGACTTAGCAACAACTCCATGTCTCAAAGAAATGTCAGTCATTCTAAATTGTATCTCTAAAGAAAGCTTGCAGAAACCCTGAGCAATTGTTAATGGGTGCCCTGATAAGTCACTGAAATCAGTGCTTCTTATCCTCAAGCATTATGCACCCTACTGCAGGTGAGTACACAGCGACGGACGGGCAGGCTTTTACTGTAGCATAATCCATACAGATTCATTAGAAAACAGGCCCAGTGCAGTTGATGCCAAAAGAAAAAGTCCAAAGCATGAAAAAAAAGAAAGAAAAAAAAAAAAAAAAGAATTACATCATTTCCTTGTATCTTCCCTGAGGACAAGGGATTGGAGAGTATGAGTCAGTCTGAAGAAATGAAATGAAAACAGCCCAGCTTTTAGTGACTTTTCCTTGTGCTTACCTTATCGAGCAGAGCAGGCCATTGAGAACAAACAGTACAAGTCTTACCACTTGCTAGGTTTTAAATAGGAGTGAAGGTGTACACGTGGATAATTTGGCTTTACAATTCCCTACAAAGATAGAGTAGACAGGAAAAGGTGGACTTGAATATGGGGCAGCATGGCTGTGTGGGCAAAAGCCTTTACATGGGGACCTGCTGCCTACTGTCAGCTGCTAAGTAGATGTGCTCTGCAGCTAGTGGGTGAAGTGTTTCCAAAGCTCCTCAGATAGAAGAACACCTTCCATGTCCTTTTAGGTGCTCAAGCCTTTTCTTTATGCCTCTGCTTTCCAGCCTACAATACAGAGCTGTAGGGAGGATGAAGTAGTGGAGGACTTACACACTGCTTTCTCGGTCTAGGGAAAGTACATTTTGTCTGTGTCTTGTGACTTATCACTTTGCCATTTCCTCACCTTGCAGTCTGACTGACCTCACGGTGTCAAATATGCTGGAAAATGACATTCAGTAATGCAACCTATTTTTCTGCTTAATAACTCAGCAAGTGAGAATTATCTGGATACTAATGAACTTCCGTCTGAGTCAAAATGCTATTGTTCACTTCTGTGTAAATAATGCCCAAGATAATGAAGGATTAGCTGCTTGTGCCAGGGGTTCATTTGAGAGTATCATTTGTAATTCCTTTAATATCAAGGATATTCACCAGGTCAGTGTCTCTAAGAAACCAGTTACATATATGACCTTTTTATTTTTGATGTGAATCAGAATATCCTGAGTTGGAAGGGACCCACGAGGATCATCAAGTCCAACTCCTGGCTCCACACAGGACCACTCAAAAATCAGACAGTATTTCTAAGAGTGTTCTCCAAGTGTCCTTTTAACTTTGACTGGCTCGGTGCCATGACCACTGCCCTGGGGAGCCTGTCCCAGTGCCTGACCACCCTCTGGGTGCAGAACCTTTCCCTAATCCCCAGCCTGACCCTCCCCTGTCCCAGCTCCATGCCGTTCCCTTGGGTCCTGTCGCTGTCCCCAGAGAGCAGAGCTCAGCGCCTGTGCCTGGTTCAGTGTGTTATTGTGCCGAGGTACTGTGCTCCACTGCTGGCACATGCTCCACTCACTGTCTAAGCATGCTAAAGGTACCTCTTTCAAAGACAGAAAGAATGGTAATTAAACAAATTACTCTGATAGACATAATTCAGTTATGGACATTGGATGAGAAAACAAAAAATGCAATACAATGTGTTGTTTTTTCCAAAGTCAGTGACATCCTTCAGTGATCAAACCCAGAATGTTCCAGGATTGTCTTGGACCCCGTCAGACCAGAGCTTCCAGTGTGGAAGGCCTAAATAGCCAGCTCGTGGCCCTAAGTTTCACTGTCCTCTGACTCCTGAGATTTCATTTTAGAAGGAAAAGATTCGGAGTCTCCTCTTGCCTGTATTTTTACCTTTTTTTCTTTTTATTTTCTGTTTTTCACCATTAGGTTCTGCAGTCAATTCCATCTTTTCACATCACATTTCTTCCCTGCTCCAAATAGATAGCCTGGCAAGCACAAAGACTTCGAAGTACTACAACCAAGTTAAGAGTGTGTGTAGAAGTGATGGAGGATTTAAGATGAGAAGTTGAAAAGAGCTACCTGGCAGTATACTGTATCAGTTCTTTGAATAGTTTTGGACCAAGACATCCTGAAGATTATTTGATTTTATCATGGTCTCAGTTTTCATTTCAAAATAAGTCCCTCTGAAGAAATATTTATGCCCATACGGATGCCTGAGTGTGCAGTCCGGAACAATAGCTGTGAGTAACACTGATCGGCGTCATGAGGTTCAGAGAGAGATGTTCAGTAGCTCAGGGCTTGCTGACAACCTTATGAAGTGACTCTGTGCCAAGACAAGAAGAATGTGAAGACCCTATTAAACTAAACCCACTAAAACCTTGGCTTTTGGAGTAATTGCTAAGGCCTCTTTGCCTCCGTCAGCCTGTGATGGGAAATGGGAATGAACTGTAGGATGGCCGTGAAAAGCCAGAACCACGCAAGCTTCATGTCACGCTGTGCCTTGGGCAGAGGCTTGCTGTAATCTGACCCTGGCCTCAGCATCTCTTTCCCCGAACTGCAAATCATTCCATTACCATCATGCTGTTTTACCATCATACAAATGTGAATTTACCCTATGACAGAACAAGCCATATCTCTTGATGGAATAGATTTCGCCATCCCGTCTCGTGTGTGTGCTTTATGCTGCAGGTCCTACGTAAGCCTAAGAAAAACCTTCTGATGTGTACTACTGATTGTTTACATAGGTTATCAGAGGGAAAAAAAAAAAAAAAAAAAAAAGAAACAGGAAAGGAAAGCTGGCAGCTGACACTGCCAAGAGACCTGGCAATGTCTAGAATCACAATCGGATCATTTCCAGTCAATAGGCTCTGTTCTCATTTAAAAAACAAAAATACAAAAAACAACACAAAACCCTTCCTAGAAAGTTGCTGCACTGTTATTTTTCCTCCATTACAGTCAGTGCAGAGGAATACTTGCACTGACTCCTGCCCTCAGACCCGAAGCAGGCGATACCGTGAGGTACTTCCAGGCAGAAAGTGGAAGGCACAGCTTGCCAAGAGGTGCGGTAAGATATGGTGGTTTATACAAGCTCAACACAAGCAATGCTGCTTGGAGCTGTGATCACAGTTCTGTGCGATAACGGCCTCTTAATGATAATGAAATCACAGACTTGTAATGCAAATAGAAATCAATGCCAAAATAAGGAGGAAGAATGCGATAAAGCTTAGGACTTAGGCATGTTTCTCATCTTCAGGTCAGGCTCTGCAAGAGGGCTAGAAAAGACGCGTGCTGGAGGACTCAGAATCCAGCTGCCTGCGTTTCATATTTGCCTGTAGCAGAGGGAACATTTCCTTGCCCAGCTCAGCCAGCCCTCACTGTACTCTTCTGAAATTAAAATATTAGAGAGAATATACTAATTCAGTTTTAATGAAAGTCCAACTCAAATTGTGTCAGACAACAGAAACGTGTTTAAATTTGTGTTGTATCAGCCCGTCTGTTATCAGCTCATTCACACGTACAGACAATACAGGAGACTTTGTTAGGGTGAAATCAAAGTTGCAAACTCACATCAGTATCTCAGGTGCTCTAATCCCTGCTAATCCAGGCTCAAGCTTCAGAAGTCTTTGGCTTTAGATATAAAACTATTCCCATAAAGTTAAGCATTTGAGGATCAAGACTGTAATTTTTGAAAATGCTGACTCATTTTCTAATAAAAACTTGCCTGAAGAAATGCGACATAAGCAAAACTCAGATTTAAACTTCAGCATCAGCATAAATATTAGACATTTGTGTTAGCATCAGCTAGAGAGGGAAAAAAAAAAAAGAGAGAAAAAAAAAAGAGAAGGAAAAGAAACTCAAACGCAAGTAATCACAGTGACAAGGAGCTCTAACAGGAATACCGTATGAGAAGATGCATCAGCATTTCTTTTGACATCTTAGTCATCAGGAGCACAGGGATGGTGGTTGTAATGCTGCAGAAGTGGTGGTTGTAATACTGTAGAAGCAGGACAGTGATAAATTCACTTCATGTTCTGTTATGGTGTTGGATTCCAGATCCAAAACACAAGGATTATCTCCTGGCATCATAAGAATGTAAAAAAGTGACTTTTATTCCACTTCCAGTTATAAAACCATTAAAGACAGGGGCACTGCAGGGTTTCTGTTAATTCTACTCACTCCCATCAAGTACAGATATTTTAGTGACATGAAAACAAAACAAACAAACAAAAAAGGCCCCTTTTGAAAAGACTATTTATTCTAAGGCAATTTTCTAACCAGAAAAGAAAAATAAAGAAGAAAACAAACAATCTTAGTCTTCTCAGAAGCTGTTGACATGGAGGAAGATATCATGCTATTTGCTTTTGGCATTTAACTCAGACACACTCAGGAGACTTGGGATCCTAGTTCTACGCTGTCATCCCGAGATAAGAGAAGACCAAAGAGCACCTATTAGACACTGGAGCTGCCTACAGGTTACAGTGCCTGTTACTTCCCTCTGCTCTCCAAGGCAACTGGGGTATTTCGTTTCGGAGATACTGGCTGTTAGATCACGTGCTTCAATACACCAGTGCAAGAGCAAGAGCTGTTGATACAGGGAAAACAAAGCAATGCTTGTAGGCTGAGATGTCAGAGAGATGACAAAAGCTTTATCTGAGAAGGGAACCAAAAAAAGAAAAAAGAAAAGATTTTATTCAGTCGGAACTTGTTGGGAAACTACCAGTTTCTGCTGTTGTTTTTTTTCTTGCCAAAAGGACAAAGACGCTTTCTCCTGAAGGTTGACAGGGATAGGACATTGGCACACAGCAATTTCATATCTGGAGGTACTCCAGGCCAATGAAAGTGTAAAAGAAGATAGCCTTGAAATAAATAGACTTAGGTGCCCCAATCTTCATCAAGACCTAATCCTGATGTGAGCTACTTCAGATGGCAACAATTGTCTGTGCCAGACTCCCAAACACACCCTTGTCAGTGAACTTTTTATGTTTGGGAGAAGGAGGGAAATATTGGATGAGTTAACTGTGGCTGAGGAAATCCTGGTTCCTTGTTGCGGGCTGAGTAGGAATATTTTTGAGTTTAGCTCTTCTGCAAGAACTGTCTGACTTCTTTCCATGAGCAGAGTAAAAGTGGACCAACACAGTTAATCATTTTACAGAAAAGCCTTCGCCCACCTTCATTTCATGCTCATGACTCCTGCAGATGTGAGGCACAGTTTGGCTCACAGCCAGCACATGGCAGTGGCAGCAAAAACTTGTTTCCATTAGTTTCTTTAATTCACTGTTTCCCTTACAGACCTGAAAGGAGATGAATCAAAAATAATTGCTTGCTTACAGAGTAATAGTGACTTGTTCATTAAACCTTGTCAGGGCACTGGATGCAGGCACTTGAATGATCTGGAAAATATGAGAAGAACTTGGCTGGGGAACAAAACCAGAGCTGATATGTGATAATGGCAAAAACAGGAGTAGAAGCTATATAATGCAAGTGAATTCCTATTGAATGCCTCTTTGTCTTGCTTTAAAGAAGTACAGAGAAGCACTCAGGATGTACAGATAACCAGTCAGCGTTCCTCACTGCAGAGCTGAAGGAAAGAAGGAAATGCTTCAAGGGTTAGTGCCTGGCTGTGTGGAACATTGCTGGGTTGAAAGCAGTCAGCTGGAGTTCATCGTGATACTCTCTCAAACCACTTTATCACAAAAATGTACAGCAATCAGTATGAAGCAGCCACAGTATTTTTCTCACCAACTGTGTTTTGTAGGCACATGGGGAGACAGGGAGAGAGTGTGCTGTTCATGTCAAAGAGCACTGCATCAAACAGTGAGCTCAGTCTGTGTTTAAATGATGCATCTTGTGGAAAGGGAACAAAAAAGGAACTATGAAGGCATGTGAACTTCCTCTTGCCTACCAGTTAGTTGTTCTGCTAAGCAGTAAGGGCAGTGTTTCATATTTGTTCATGTGCAGAACAAAAGGAATGAAGATGAGTCAATAAACGTATGGAGGCCACATTCAGGGATTTCTTTGCATCTGCTTCCACTGCTACATGACCAGCTAGGGAGAGCCTCCAGAAGCATCACTCCTGCTTCACAGGCTGATCAAACAGTTTGCTGAAGACATTTCTCCCTCTTACAGAAGTACAAAATTAGAAGTTCCCAAGTATTGTATCTTCAGAGAAACTGATACTGGTTGCTTAAGAGTATTGGGTTAGCCTTCAGCCAAGCCCCGCAAGAATGCAGTTTTGGCACCTGTTTTCTATTTATACGGATTTATTGATCCGGGTCTTAAATCACAGAATCACTTTATTTCAATGTGATATTTCTTAATGTTTTTGATATACAGTTTTACCCTTTGCAGGTAAGGGTAAAGGTGTGTGGCATGCCACCTTACTCTGCAGTTTAGGTTCAGGAGTACAATCATACTGCGGGTTATATTCCCTTCCCAGGTCAAAGTGCAGACCTGCTGTCTTTGCATCCTTTGAACAGTGACATTGAAAAAACAAATTGTGGTGGTAGTAGCATCGGTGACAAAATGACCTAGGGACATTTCTGTTACTGGCAAGTTCTTACTCTCTTGTCCTTGCACTAGTTCACTTCCAGGTGACACAGGATGCATAGTTAGCTCTGACCCAGTTCTTAGAAAGAAAATCCCAGTCTTGGCCTCAGTGAGATAATCAAGACCAATAGAAAAAAACTATTTTGTAGAGTTAAAAGAAATTGGATCGATGGCATGAAAACAAATGCCTCTTAGGACATTATGGAGTTTACCAACTCTGTGAAATTTCGATACAATCTTTGTTCTGTCTGAGTCATGTCTACTTTCCTCTTATGCTTCACATCCCTGCAGCCAGGATGGAAACATTGGTTCAGAGGTCAGCTAGTCAGTTAGTATTTATTTCCAAATAAACAAATAAATATTTTTTTTTCTACACATTTGTCAAACCTGAAGTGCTCCCTCCTGGTCCTGATGGACTGCAGCCACATTGCTGTAAGGTTTCTGTCCGGGAGCCCACAGCTCCAGAGCAGCCCTCCTACACGAGCAGTCCTGGGGCTGGGGGTTTTTTGGGATCCTACTAGAGCCAGAAGCAAGGAAGCCTTGGAAGCCCTGGCTTTGACTTCGTTTTGGCCTCCATCTCTACAGCAGTCAGCTTGCAACCCCAGCTGAAGCCAAAACCTGCCTGCTTGCCAGGCGTCCTGCCACGGAGGAGGCTGTGGAGGATCACTGCTGATTCAGGCTGACGTGGGCCGAGGGTCCCAGGGTTTCCAGCTCCCCGTCCAGCTGGCTCACCGGGCTCCCCAAGTCTGCCTGGAGTCTAGAAGCCATGGCAGATGCTGGTGTGATTCCTGTTGACTGAACTACCGCTTACCTCCGACTGGCAGTGACTTTCTCAAAAGTGCTTCTCTGATCCTTGCAGAGCACCTTTCAGTTTGGAAATTTGTATACTTGGATTTCCATTTTTTTTCCACTTTGCCTGCTTAGCAGGAAATTTCACAGACTTTCACCCCCGACTCTAATTTGCACATAAACCAATTTCAAAATGCCAAAATTTCATCGCTTCAGATATTCTGGGGTATGGCCATTTCCAGTCTACATGTTCATGTTTAAATTCCAATAAAAATATAATAGTTTCAAATGGAGAGACTCTCCCAGAATGGAGCAGATTGCCCAGGGTTACCCTAGGAGATGAAATGATAGAGCTCTGCTAACACGATCCACCTTCTTTATACTAAAATTTGAGAAGGTTCATCCCATGAAGGGATTGTAGCCAGGTTCCACTTTTTCCCCCCATTTTCTTTAAGCTGAACAAAGACACTGGACAATGCTGAAACGAGATGTGGAAATTCACAAAAGCAATTTTTGCTCTCTCTGCAACTCTGGTAATGTCTCTGCCCAGCTTAGAATCATCAATAACTTTGGGAAGGCAGGAGCTGTAATTTTTAATGCTCTTCTTTGCAGGTTGTTTTGTAAAATATCTCCTTTTAAGGCTGTCAGACAAGTGCCTAATTGCTCGTGAAAAAAAGTTACTGCTGATGCATAAGGAAAAGTCCAGGGCCTCCTAATTCTTAAACTTCCTGTGCTCCTGCAGCTGAACAATATAGAATTGTGTTGAGAAGGAAAGCACATTCCCAGTGGTACCTGTCTGAGTTTGGGATTACGCTGTCACTTAAGGATGTGCCTAAGTGCAGTTTTAGAAGGCTCCAACGCTGCCATTTGCCTGAACATGTAGTACACATTACTGCATCCTTTTATCTGCCTTCTGCAACTAAAATAGATGTATTTTTAGAAGCTTAGATTCTTGGGTACTGGTGTTTTGAAACCAGGAAGCCCGTGTGGCCGTTGTGCTGGGTCAGATGAGTAGAGGAAAAAGAGCAAAGCATCACTGCTCTGTAACTACCATAGCTCCGTGTGGTGATTCTGAAAAGTAAATAAATAAAAACAGCTTCTTGCTTTAGCAGGAAACTTCCTGTTATTTATGTTGTCCTCTTTGTCACCTAATGCAAGGTGTCAAGTTTATAACTGAAATGCAGTGCATCAAGTTTTGTGCTTCCATGAAGCGGAGCCAGCTCTAATTTCCACTGCTTCATTCTTATGGGCACCGCTGGGAGTGGCATGAACAGAAAAGCAAAATGAGGAAGTGTCTGGATGACTACTTTTCAGCTAGAAGTTCTCATTATTTTTATATTAAAAGGAATTTTGTGAGTGGTGAAAAGAGTCTCTTTCTGTAATATACCCACAACATCCTGTATATGCTTTCAGCTCTAGTTTGCCTCCAACTGAGCCTCCAACATGAACAGGGGCTTGAACCCTGCAAATATTTGAAGTTTCAAGGCT